CTGATAGGCATTGACAGGCATCACTGATGGGCACTGAAACAGCACTCTATGGCACTGATAGGTGGCAATGATTGTCTGATACTGATCATTTGCAAAGGCAGCTGATTGATATGTGCATTGATGTGGCAGGTAACTAAATGTGGCATTGATGTGGCACTGGCACCCATATGAAGCACTTTTTAGCTGGCACTTTCACTGCTGGGGCTAACTGATCATCAGTTTTTGTACATGTCCCCTCCCGTGAAATGCTGATTACTGGCTCCCCTCTCGAGCTGTCAGCGTGACAGCTCGAGAGGAGAGAAATGCCGATAACCGACATTTCCCTGTTTACATGTGATCAGCTGTGATTTGATCACATCACGCTCTTTCTTTGATTGCACAGTTTTGAATGGGTGGACGTCAAACAGAAATTACATCCATCATAAATGGCGGGCGGGAAGTGGTTAAAAGAAGTACAGTCAAAGCTCTTTTGGCTGTACCTCTCCTTTTCACAGGAGTGCAAAAAAAAGTGACTCGTTTTCATGACATGGGGCTAAAGCCTGCTGTTGGCTAAAGGCTGCGAAATGATCCCGAAAAGTCAGGATCCACCCCAGTCTGGAGCGGCACCTGCCTCCGCCTCTCAGCCTGAGCCAGCCACTTCCGCCTCCACAGCCGAGCGCTCCAGTGAGCGGACAGCGGGAGACTGACCGTCACTGCTCTCTGCTTTCACGGTCATGTAATCGCTGATTTCTTCACACTTACGGCTTATTTGATAAATTTCCAACTCTTACCAAAGACTCCATAGCATTAGTATTTTCGGCCAGGCATTACTGAGCTTTAGTATAGGCGTTAGACTGGCATTTTACAAGCAAAAAACGCCCTCCAAAACGCCCTAAGCAGTTTTGACATGTTTTTTCATTGTTATACAAGCCAAAATGGTAGTAACGTGCCGCAAACGCCTGCCAGCATGTTTAGAGCGTCACCATAGACTTGAATGCGAGGCCTTGAAAGGCTTCAAACTCCTCGGGACTCGACATGAGGCTTCACTTTTGGAGCGACACGACGCTAACGCTTCACTGTGTGATGTCCATAGTATCATTTGCATAGGTGTTTGAGAGCATTAAAAACGCCCCCCAAATGCCTGCTTTCAAAGCCAGTGAGAACTAGGCCTTAGAGCCAACTGAGGACCAATGCTGCACCCACCTAGGCAAGTATGATTTCAGAAAAAACATAAACCCAAAACTTATCTCTTGATAACAGGATCAAACAATTACAAATAAAACATTTTAAAAATATGCTATGAATGGAACCTAAAGTGGTGTTAAACGCAAAACCAGAAATGTAATATATTACAGCTTACTAATCATTCATCAATGTGGTGGCTGCATTATTAGTTTTCTTTTTTTTATTTCTTCTCATTTTATAATCAATTACAGCAGTTTTTTTTTTTTCCTTTTATGATAAAGGTTTTACATAAATAAAAGCTGATCACTGTAAGCACCCCAGTCATTGTTAAAGGATAAGTTCACCTTTGGAACATGTTACACATCCATCTTTAGGGTGGAACATGTAACAAGTTCCCATAGCCGCGCAGTGTAATCGCCCCCCCCCCCTCCCCTGTGACAGATAATACTGGGAGCAATCTCCCCATACTGTGCCAGATGTGAAAACAGTGCAGCCGTGCGGGACTCCGCCCACATGGCCGCATCATTCATTTACAGACTTCCGTGAATGAATGAACTGCAAATCCCGACAGCCTTAGCGGCTGTGGGCTTGTAGTTTTCAATGAACTACCATAGCGCTGTGGAGAGCCATAGTAGTTCATTGAAGCTTCCTGTCAGAATATATGCTTGGCCGTACATCCCGTACATCTACCAGATATTCTGACAGGTCTGCAGGAGACCTGCATGGCATCAGCCATCTACTGATCGCTGGTGCAATGCTTTCTAGGCTCCTTTGGACAAAAATATTAAATGCAACTTTTTTTTAACTGCAAAAAAAAATGTGCATTTATGATTTTTGTCCAATAGGTGAACTTATCCTTTAAATTTATTGTCTTATCCCTGTAAACATATACATCTGGAAGAAAGTTTGTTCTTTGGAAAATAACAGACCAACCGGCTGGACCATCAGATGAAAGTAGAGGAAAGAAAGTCTAAAAAGAGAAAACTAATGCAGCCTTCACACTAAGAATTGGTAAGCTGCAATAAAATAAATGTCTGATTTTGGGTTTAATATTCATTTTAACACAACTACATAGTCAAGTCGCAATTAAAATTGTATGCCCAGCCAAAATTTTCTTTTAACTTTGAATAGAGTGGAAAAAGATGGGAACCTTTGTCGAGTTTTAATTTCCTTGGCGATTCTTTAGAAAGAATTGCCCCCATTACTGCCCCAGTGACAACAATTCCACCAGACAAAAAGTTGAGGAAAAACTCCAAAAGCAGAACATAGAGAAATTAATTTTTTTTTAGTCGAGGAAAACAAAAACCCTTTTCAGCATTTTATTGATATGTCGTTGTTGTAGATGTTCTGTCACTTTCTGTTTGGTAAATCCACTTCCATTGTCACCATGACAGGGAGGGTAAATTGCTTCTTTTGCACAATTATGAATGAACAGCAGATAACTGCGACAGGAATCACAGGAATATGCAAACAGCTGTGATCAGGAAGCGCATACAAATAAATGACAGGTGGCTACATGTAACCGCACATGGAACCAGTACTGGCAGTTAGAGACTGGCCCTGGACACTGAAAGATTGCTTCCAAGGATGATCATCTGTCCCTAACCATGCTCTTGGCCCTTACCTGCTCGCATTCACCTGTGATTCCTGCCACAGGTAGCTGCTGTTTTTTCAGGATGCAGCCTGAATCCTGATCATTGTGTGGGATCCACCACTTGACAGAAAGGGATTGTATATTTAACTTTTGACAATGGGACAAGGCTTAAAGGATCAATCCTTTGACAGCGCTACCTTCTCTCTCTTGAAGCCACGCTGGCTGACACAGGGGAGCCGATCATGCGAATGGGCCAGAGCAGGCAGAAACTAAGTAAGTATACAGATCTTTCTTAAGCCGGCCATAGATGGATCGAATCTCGGCTGGCACAGCAGGGACTGACCAAGGTTTGAACTATCTATGGGCAGGCTGTTTTACCCAAGTCATTTGATCGACTTGTGTACAACTAGCCTGTCAAAGTTTTTACATGTGATTACTGTCAGCAGCTATAGCCGCTAGCAGTAATCATTGAGTTTTGCCAGCCAGGAAGGCTTCCAGCCAGCAAAACACAATAGCTCTGTGGGAAGGAATCAAGCAATATTCTTTCTTTGGTGGAAGGAAAGAAAAATCACATAATCTATGGCTTGCTTTACACTGGTTAGTTAGCAATGGTGTTAGGAGGAGGGAGGGGATAGTGTTTAGGTTAATTAGGGTCAAAATTATTGTAAAGGCAGATTTTTTTTCTCTTTAAAATAACAAACATGTCATACCTACCTGTTCTGTGTAGTAGTTTTGCACAGAGCAGCCCCAATTCTCTTCTTGTTGGGGTCCCCTCCAGTGCTCCTGGCCCCTTCCTCCTGCTGCTTGCTATGAGGGCACCCAAGCAGGCTCACTTCCGAGCCGCTGCTCTGTGTTTCCATTCATACACAGACAAAACCTGCTCCCCCGACACACTCTCCTTATTTGCTCACTGCCTGTTATTAACAGTAGCAGGAGCCAATGTCCCCGGCACAGCCGCTGCTCCCGTGCACATCACTGGATCGGGCTTAGGTAAGTATTAGAGGGGCCTGCTGCACACAGGTTTTTTTATACCTTCAAGAAGGTAAAAAACCTTAAGCCTTTACAACCATTTTATCCCAAAATCCCCCTTCCTGACCAGGCCATTTTTTGAGACACAGCATTGTGTTACTTTAACTGACAATTGCATGGTCATGCAACGCTGTACATAAATTAAATTTATGTCCTTTCTTTCCCACAAATAGAGCTTTCTTTCTGTTCTATTTTTGTGCTATAAACAAAAGATTGACAATTTTGAGAAAAAAACCCAAAAAACGTATTTTTGAATTTTGCTATAAAACATATCCAATAAAAAAAATAAACATTTAGGCCAAAATGTATTCTGCTACATGTCTTTGCTAAAAAAAAAAAAAAATCCCAATAAGTGTATATTAATTGGTTTCCGTGACAGTTATAGCGTCTACAAATGGCAGCATATATACTGGAATTTTTTTTTTTCATATATATATACTAGTAATGGTGGCAGTTAGTGACTTATAGCGGGACTGCGGCAGGCATTCTGACACTGGGTGGAAACTGACTAACTGCCACTGACACAGTGATCAGTGCTAATAGAAAGCACTGAGACTGTACTGACACTGGCAGGAAGGAGTTAACATCTGGGGCGATCAAAGGGTTAACTATGTGTTGGGGAGTGTTTTCTTTATTGTGTACTGTGTGCCGTTTTACTAAACAGACCTGCTGCTTAGTAAAGATTGATCACAGAGTCCCGGATCAAAGGGTTAACTGTGTGTTAGGGAGTGTTTTTTTATTGTGTGCTGTCTGCGGTTATACTAAGCAGACCTGCTGCTTTCCATCTCTCTGCTGTGCAGAGAGATAGAAAGCAGCATGTCCATGCTGACAGGAGAGATCTGAGTTGTTTACACGCAGATCTCTCCCCTCTCAGCTTCGCCGACGATCACCGAGTCCCGACCGAAACCTGGTGATTGACATCCTCAGGAGGCAATAGCAGTGCGGGTAGGGTGGCACGCACGCGCCTACTACCCGAAAATGCAAAATCATGTATAGTTACGTGATTTTGCACAGCGAAGCCATCCTGTATTAGAACATCTGCCATGGGGTGGTGGGCAACTGGTTAATGAAGCCACAGATTGCAGCAAAAACCCAACAGAGGTTCTAATCCTTCAAAACCAAAAAAAAAAAAGTTTGGACTGGCCTCACATTTTAAACTTGTAGGTTGACAAACAATGGCCAAATATCTATCCACATAACAATGACAGATTACCCGGAGGATGGAGACCCGTCCAGAGCTACGGATCTCAAACTGGCCTTCTTCTGCCTCCAGGTCATAGCTGAACGACGCATCCCCGATACTTATGTACCCCAGCGACTGGGCGTCATGGGGGCTCTTGAAGTAGTAGAGGTAGCAGCGGCGAGGGTCAAAGACAAACCAGCGGTTCTTGAAGCTCCTCAGGGGCCCCTTCCCAGACAGCTTGGCCAAACTCCCGCAAAGTTTAGGCGGCGGTTCTCTGGTGGGTTCTCCGGTGGGTGAGGAGGTCATAGGGTCTTGGGTGGCTCTGCCCTGGCTGTCTCTTCTGTCTTCCACCCCTGGCATATCTGTCACCATGGGTGTCCTGCAGAGCGGTCCATGTCCTGGTGGGGGAGTTCTGAGGACTTCTGAGGTCTCCACCACTGATGTCTCCTCTTCCCCTCTCTTATCTTCTATCTGTCACAGTGACCTCCCATCTACACAAACATCTGCTTCCTGCTTTGTGGTGACAGTTACATTGCCTTTATATCAGCACACGTGACCCCCATGCATTTCCTCAAGCAGCTCACCCTAGGCAGAGTCTCCTCTCCATTGCACGATACAGAAGTCTGCCCCTAGCACTCCGCACACTGCCTGCACTCCGAAGCTGCCTCTCCACTCACCCTGCGCCCAGCGCTGCATCCCATGACTGTACACCGACACAAAGCATCATGGGAATCGTAGTCCAGCCGCCGCTACAGAGCCTTACCCTGACGGCAGGAAAGACTACAACTCCCGGCATGCCCCCCGCCAGGCTGGGTGAACCAGGGAGAAGGGGCGTGTGTATCTCCGCTATAAAATAAATATATTAATACAGTTTCCACCCAAAGTTTGCACGGGATTGCCACGTATGTGATACAGGGATACATGTACGGCGTGGGGTGGGTGATATGCGGCTTTGTGTCTGATAGACATGACAGAGAGATACAGAGGCAGCCTGTGACTGGATAGGAGGGCTCAGGGCTAGCGTCCACTTTTATGATGATTTCTAGGACAATATAGGACGGGAAGCTACAATGCATTTTTGCCCATACATACTTTTTATTTTTCCTGTAAAGTTCATTTGAATAAAGTTTTGTTTTTTTATTGAATGTGAGTGACGTATGTACTGGACATGCTTGCTGTCCCATATTTCCACTCTCCACCTAGTGGCTGTCTGTGCTCCCTGCAGGACAGCTGCTGCAATTGCACAGCAGCTAGGTTCACACCTATGCAGTTTGCTTTTGATCCATTCCTGCACTGCGTTTTGCATCTTTGCACATGCGTTTTGATGCTGTTTTGACGCATTTTGTGGGTTTTCATTTTTTTTTCTTGTTGCTAGGCAGATTTAAAACGCAAAACGCCGCAAAAACGGGTTTAAGGCTTGGTTCACATCTGTGCGGGTGGTGCTGCTGCAGATCCGCACGAAAATCCGTGCAGCCACACCACCCACACAGAGGGATGCGGACCCGTGGGCGGATGCCATTTGTTCTAATGGCACGCTGCCCACACGGGAAAACGTAACCGTACTTGGAACCGAGGTTCCTGTGCGGGCTGCGTTTTCAGAAGAAGTGCAGGGACTTCCCTGTTTGTCATGAGGCACGGGAGTCCATTCAAATGAAAAAAAACGCGGCTCACACGGCCACATATATGTGAACCGGGGGTAAAAAAAGTCCCTGACCCTTTCCAAAAACGCAGAAATGTGAACCTGTCCCATAGGAAATCATGTTAAATGGACTGTAGTGCGTTTCTGCAAAACGCTGCGGAAAACGCTTCGGTGTGGACCTAAAGCAGAACTGCAGTTGTTTTTGTAAAAATTAAAAGTTAGCGTCTGTGGATCAGATATGTGCCGGACTCCCCATAATTCAGACAGTCTACCTATCCAAGGTGAGATGAGAGCGCACTTTCATTCTTTCTTTCTCCTCTTCCCCTTCATGGGTTATCCCTTCTCTAAGGGGCTGATCTTTATATGTTTTAGGCACATTTAACTGTTTTTGGCCCCATGGAATACCCATGGAGTTACTACAGGAGTGTTTACATGGGGGACCTGCGGCACTCTGCCAGAACCACACCGGGGATATTTAGTCAAAGTGGCCCTTTCAACGGTTCAATGGAGGAGTAATTTGTTTGTCTGTATTTACCATCCCCAAACGTAAAGTGTTACTAAATCCAGGATCCTGCAAACACTGTATCTGGTCTCCCACAGCACACAGAACATGGAAATGCAATTATTATAGTAAATATAAACTGCTAAATACCTTTTCTCATCAGCAGTTACAGCAGTCTCCTGACTTCAGCAGAGCACTGGTTAAACCTTGTAGAAGGAATTTTTTTCTGCTCTAGGAGGATGCAGAACCCCTTACCTCTATCTGGACAGTACTGATTGGCCCTGTGCTGATCACATGCACTCTCCCAAAAAAAAAAAAAAAAAAAAACCTCTCTAGCAACACACACTAAACTGAGCATGTGCATGTGACTACGGGTTCAGTCTGTCCTATCAGGTGGACATTTGAACAAGAAGAGAGGCAGGGAAGAAAGAATAAAACAGCCTATTTACACAATACGGAGGATTAACCCCTTAGGTCCCACAATGAGTATAGCAAGCATGCTTTACTGCATATACAGACTGATTTTATTGTTGTGGGTTTCGTAACACTTTAAGCTTTTCATACTGAGTTTATTGGAGGTATCCCACATGGAAGAAAAATATATTTGAAATATATTTTAAAAATATATATTTTGGCCATATTCATTATATTTCAAAATATATTTCAATAAAAAAAATTATATATATATATATATATATATATATATATATATATATATATATATACATATACACACACATACTGCATGTTGAAATGCGTTTTTTTGTTACAAAATATATGAAAAATAAAATATATAAATAAATTTCAAATATACTGAATATCTTTAAAAATACAAATCTACATTTTTGGAATGCATTTACAATTATATGTAAACATATATGTTAAAATGACTTTTTTAATGTTAAAAAAAATCTGAAGAATATATTTAAAAACAAAAAAAAAAAACAAAGCTTATGCAGGCCATAGATGGGGAGAAAAACGGCAGATTTTTCTTTTAAAAAACGAAAATTCGGTCGTTCAAGCGGCCGACGTTGCCATCAATGGTAAAAAAAAATCTGCCGATTTTCATCCCTTCTACAGCCAGCAAAAAGTGTCCCTGAAGAGAGCTCTGCTATTTCTGACAGTTCCTTGACATTTACAGCGGTTGAAACATTGTATCTATTTATTTCCATTTAGGATACAGATGTTTTTATTCGGAAACAAATAGATACAATGTTTCAACCGCTGTAAATGTGAAGGAACTGTCAGAGAACTGTCAGAAATAGCGGAGCTCTCTGCAGAGACACTTTTTTGCTGGACTGGAATTATTCTTATTTTCATCCTACTTCTTCTTCTTCATCCTCATCCTCTTCTTCTTCTTCTTCATCCTCATCCTCTTCTTCTTCTTCTTCATCCCTCTTCTTCATCCTCATCCTCTTCTTCATCCTCTTCTTCTTCTTCTTCATCCTCATCCTCTTCTTCTTCATCCTCATCCTCTTCTTCTTCTTCTTTTTCATCCTCATCCTCTTCTTCATCCTCATCCTCTTCTTCTTCATCATCATCATCCTCTTCTTCTTCATCATCATCCTCTTCTTCTTCTTCTTCTTCATCCTCATCCTCTTCTTCATCCTCATCCTCTTCTTCTTCATCCTCTTCTTCTCCTCCTCTTCTTCTTCTTCATCCTCATCCTCATCCTCTTCTTCTTCATCCTCATCTTCTTCTTCCTCATCCTCATCCTCTTCTTCTTCATCATCCTCATCCTCTTCTTCTTCATCATCATCTCTCCTCCTCTTCTTCTTCTTCATCCTCATCCTCCTTCTTCATCCTCATCCTCATCTCTTCTTCATCATCATCATCATCATCCTCATCTCTCTTCTTCTTCTTCTTCTTCATCCTCTTCTTCTTCTTCTTCATCCTCATCCTCTTCTTCTTCATCCTCATCCTCTTCTTCTTCATCCTCATCCTCTTCCTCTTCTTCTTCATCCTCATCCTCTTCTTCTTCATCCTCTTCTTCATCCTCTTCTTCATCCTCTTCTTCTTTTTCTTCTTTTTGTCTTCCTCTGGCAGGTCACTGCTCATGCGCAGTTTTTTTATCGGTAAAAAATCGGTCGATTCGCCCACTAATTGCCGCGAAAATCGGCCGATCGGCAAAATCGGTCGATTTTTTTTCCAACTTTACCGAAAAAAAAAACGGCCAAAATACCGAAAATCGGCCGACCAAATCGCCCACTAACGATCCGAAAATCGGCCGATTTTATTTTCGTCCAAAAAATCGGCCGATTTTCGACCCATCTATGGCCTGCATTAGTCAGCAGAAGAGGTTTCTTTGCTGTCTCTGAAATTCACACAGGTGTAACCCTCAGCAGTCCATTTGTAGTCAAATAAACCCACCTGCCTGCTTTAGAATGTACACTGAGCTGCACGTGCACAGCCCAATTTATATTCCAGCGCACGATCCTGCATGCTGGGATGACTGCACTCCTGGCATGCACGGGACTGGTGTCATCCGGTGCTGACCAATGAAAACAGCTGTATACCTGAAAGAAGCCAGGCAGAACATGCTGGCGAGGGACTTCAGACCTTAAGAGTAGAGGTAAGTATTGGGAACATTAGTTCCTCTTTAAAGCAAACCCAAAAACAAACATTTTCTATGCTGCAGCTCACCTGGTGATCCAGCCAATAAATCTGGTATTTGTCATCTTCCTTTACCAGAGCAAGCTGTCCTGCAGATGTAGCAGTTAGGGTCCATGTACACTGGGATTAAAAAAAATGCTAGTTCCCCTTGGCCGGAAAAATACTCCTATAGAGCGTTTTGTACATGAGTTTGAGACAAACCATTAAAGTAGTATTAAAACCAAAAGCAAACTTTTATTATTTTGCAGCTTACCAGTCATTAGATGTAATGGCTGCATTCATTTACTTTCATAGATTTGCTTTCTTCTAATTTCATCTGGTGATCCAGCCAGTAAGACTGTTGTTTTTTTTTTTTTTTAAAAAAAAGCTCTCTTCCAGATGTATCCATGGGATGAGACACACTATTTAACACTGACAGGGGGCTTACCATGATCAGCTTTTATTTATGCATGTAAAACCTGTGTATTGCCAGCACAGTGGCTAAATGGTTAGCACTTCTGCATGGCAGTACCAGGGTCGCTGGTTTGAATCCCAACCACAGTACCACCTGCCTGGAGTTTGCATGTTCTCCCTATGCCTGCGTGGGTTTCCTCTGGGTACTCCAGTTTCCTCCCACAC